AGAAGAAAGAAAGAAAAAGAAAGAAAGAAAGAAAGAAAGAAAGAAAGAAAGAAAGAAAGAAAGAAAGAAAGAAAGAAAGAAAGAGGGAGGGAGGGAGGGAGGGAGGAAGGAAGGAAGGAAGGAAGGAAGGAAGGAAGGAAGGAAGGAAGGAAGGAAGAAAGAAAGAGAAAGAAAGGAAGAAAGAAAAGGAAAGAAAATCATGCAATTTGCTTTATTTGGGGCTTCCAGCACTATTTTGTAGCTGCTTCATGTCGGTACACACAGTGCTACTTCTTTATAACAGGTGCATCATATTCCATGATGTGTCATAATTTACCCACTCCCTGTTGGTAGTTTTGAGGGAGGCTTCCTGTCACGTTTTATATTACATAAGTGCTGCAATGAATATCCTTCTTTGAAAACTTGTGCTGGACCAGCAGATGGTATAATGGCTATGTCACTGGACTCCCATGTAAGTCGCAGTTTGAGTCTTGGACCCGGTGGCTTAAACTCATGCTGGACATGTGTGTGTGCGTGTGTGTGTGCCCAAAATCCCGAGAGGAGAATAGAGGAGAAGGGATTGCAGCGTGGTCATCCCCCCTGGGGGATGATTTCTTGCTTTCTGCCTCTCTGTCTCTGGGGCAAGTGCATGTGCCTTATTGCAAAAATCTCTCTAAAAAAAGAAAAAGAAAACTTGTGCTGGGATCTCCACTTGGGGTAGAATCTAAATGAAAAGCAAGGGAACAGCAGTTCAGAGGGCTTACTGAATAGGTAAGTCACACAATTATTATGAAAGATATATTTGGAAAATTCATTCTTTTTATAATAATTATTTAATTTTGTTTATTATTATTATTATTATTATTATTATTTTAATTTGCTATAAGGCACGTGTGCTCATCAGAGAGAGAGCTAGCAAGAGAGAGAGAGAGGGAAAGTGAAAAGCAAGCTGCCAGGTCTGGGACTCGAACTGGTGAACTATGTGAGAGTCCAGTGCCTTAACCACCACACCACCTGCTGGCCCTGGAAAATCCATTCTGATGTTGTCAGGTTTTGTTTGAGCAGAACATTTATTTGAACTCTGGCCGTCCAGACCCTGATCCTTTTGAGTGTATCTTAATGGAACTGTCACAGCAGGAGAAGCTATAGAAGACTCCAAAGTTCCAAACCCAGATTGGGATGGTCAATGTAGGGGGGCTTCTTGAAGGCCGGGGAGGCTGGATGGAGGGGTGAATGGAGAGATAGGCAGAGGGGTCACTGCGTCGAAGATACATGGAACTTGAGCTGAGCAGTCTGTCCAAGGACACAAGAAGGGACACGGCCTCTGCCCTGTGGAGGTGGCAGCCCTGTCCTAAGAAGTAACTGGGGATATCTTGGCCTTCTCCAAAGCCCTTTCATCACCTCCCTACCAGCCCCCAAGCCCCAGCATTTCTGTCTCTCTCATATCTCCAGAATGACCATCCGTTTCTCTCCATGGCCACCACCCCTACCTAAGTTCAGCCCCCACTCTCCCTCACCTGTACAGTTGCCATATCCTCCTCACTGGCTTACCTTCTCCCTCTTTTCTTCCCTCTAATCTGTTGCTACACGGGACCTTCCTTTCTAAAGGCAGATGTAGTCATACCTCTTTACTCCCCTACTTACCATCCACTGAGATGCAATTCTGATGTAGTATTCGATGCTCTTCATTATATGACCTTGGCATTCCTGTATTTTCTCTGGGCCAGCCTATAGCTAGTTCCCCTGCCCTCTCACACCTCTAACCCTTTGCACATGCCCTTCTCTCTGCCTGGATTCCCATTTCCTTTCTCCAAAAGGCTGCAGTGGCGAGCTCAGCCTGGAGGGGTCAGGGAAGCAGAGGAGGAAGAGGAAGAGGAGGAAGGATTTGCCAGGCAATGAACTGGGCCAGGTGTTCTGGTGGAGGTCCAAAAGCCCTGCAGACAGGGAGGTTCAGAATCTCAGGTTTTGAGCACCTACCCGAGGTGTCATTTTCTAGGGTGTAGCTGCTGAGGTAGGTCAGCTGGAAATGGTCATGAGAGGTCTTGAAGGAGGTTGGTCATGGACGACAGCCTAGAAGTGATCCTATTGGCTGGCCTTCTGCTGGGTCTCAGAGAGACATGCCGGGGGGGCCAGACCTGGATAGACGACAGCTTGCTGCTGCTGTTAAGGGTACCAGGAGGTGAGGTCATATGGTGTACTCCATGGAGAAGGAAAGGCACTTGGAGAACGTCAGATGGGACCAAAGGCCCCATGGATAGAGAGGAGCTCATGGGGAGCATTGATGGAGATTTAAAGTGGGTGCCAGGCATCATCTTCCCTCCTGTGCTCTAGAACCCTAGGAATAGGTACTGTTATTATCCCCATGTTATTTCCCTTTTTCTTTTAATTGCCAGAGGGAACATGCACTCACCAGAGAGAGCTAGAGAAGTGGAGAGAGGAGAGGGTGGAAGCACCCCCAAAGGGGCATGGCACACTGCCCCCTTCTCCGTATCTCCATCCTATCTGGATTTGGGACACACATGCTCAGACACTGGGAGTGTTTTCCAAGCTGCCAGGGCTGGGATTCCAACCGTGGTGGGCCACATAAGATTTGGCTCCCTTAACTGCTAGGCTACTGGCAGCCCATTATTCTCGATTTACAGATAAGATGACCGCTGCTTGGGTAAGCTGTGTCTTGTCCACGATTTCACACAGACCTCAGCCAACGCCCAGCCCGTGAAGGGAGGGTTGCAGCTGACTACGCTGACCGCTGACCGCACTGATGGATGCCCTGTGCCTCTGCAGGAAATGGGAAGGCGGGGACCCGGGCGTGGCGCACCAGAAGACCCCGACCTGCCTGCTGCTGACTCCGGAGGGCGCCTTTCACAGCTTTGGGTACACTGCCCGAGATTACTACCACGACCTGGATCCCGAGGAGGCGCGGGACTGGCTATATTTCGAGAAGTTCAAGATGAAGATTCACAGTGCCACTGTGAGTCACATTCCGTGGGGACAGGGCTCTAGCCAGAGAGGAGCGGTCAGCATGGGAAAGGACCAGGCCAACCGAAGGTGCTACAAAGCTAGACGAGGAAAGGCCAGATGCCGGAGTGACTCGGAGGGGCGGGGCTAAAGGGAGAGGTGAGGCTAAAGGGAGAGGCGGGGCCGGGTTGTGGGGGGGCTAATTGTGGGGCTGGATTAGAAGAAGCGGGGCCAAACAGAGATCCTGGTGTGGGAAGTAGCTGCTGTGAGATTGGGGCTATAGAGAGACTGTGCTAAAGAGGGGAAGCGCCAGGAAATGGGATGATTTTTTAAGAGAAAGGTCATCAAGACATATGGGCAAAGCTACAGCCCCCTGTTGAGCCACCCTGAATCTGCCAGGATCTCACCTTGAAAACTCAGCTAGAGGCGGTAAATGGAAAGAAGATGCCAGCCCTGGAAGTGTTCGCCCATGCTCTGCGCTTCTTCAAAGAGCACGCCCTTCAGGTGCGCTGCGGCCCCATCGCTGCCAACTCCCCGGCTGGGGTCCCGGGGCCCTCGTACCCCCTTTCCTCTCATCTCACCCCCAGTCATTGAGTGGGTAAGCGCTGCCAGAGATGAGATGTCATCTTCTCCAATCCCCTGCCTTCTAGCTGGTAGAGTCTGCACCAGGCCACACAGGTGTGGGGAAGGGGAGGGCTTTCCAACTCAGCTGGGAAAATTAGTTTCTCCAGCTCCTACGTAAGACTGAAGACTCCCCTCCCCACCCTCAAGCCAGCTGTCCCTCTCCCTGCCCCCTTCTGCTCCAGGAGCTGAGAGAACAGTGCCCATCGCTTCCAGAGAAGGACACTGTGCGCTGGGTGTTGACGGTGCCTGCCATCTGGAAACAGCCAGCCAAGCAGTTCATGCGGGAGGCTGCCTACCTGGTGAGGTCTTGCAGGCAGGGCACACTGCTCAGCGGGCCCAGGGAGGGACCCATGCCCTCATCCATCCCGCCACTCCTGGGACTAGAGTCATTGTGTGAAGCCCTCCAGCCTTGCTCTGCTGGGCATTCTCAGTTCTTGTCACCAGGAGAGGAAGTGGGCCTGAAGGAACAGGGGGCAGATGGGCAAGAGGCAGCACAGTATCTTAAGTTTCTTAGAAGTAGGTCAGGATAGGGACCAGCAGTTATCGTAATGGCTATGTCGCTGGACTCCCATGTAGTCGACCGTGGTTCAAGTCCCAGACCCGGTGGCTTAAACTCACGCTGGGTGCGTGTGCGTGCGTGCCCAAGATCCCGAGAGGAGAATGGAGGAGAAGGGATTGCGGCATGGCCATCCCCCCTGGGGGGTGATTTCTCACTTTCTGTCTCTCTGTCTCTCTCTGTCTGTCTGGCGAGCGCACGCGCCCTATAGCAAAAACCTCT